GTGACCTTTCAAAAGGAAGTCAACAGTTATGTCCCAGTGGCTGGTCTGAGTCGTAGGGGCAGTCCAGATCCAGACTTCAAAATTCGTATCCAGGCCAAAGGGCCTCCACAGCAGTTGCTTTTCATTGGGAATGCTCTGGGACACATGCAATGCAGGGTCTGGGACAAAAGGACAGGCCGAACTGAGCCAATGCAGACCCAACGTGGAGAGGCCAGCACTACTTAAGGAGCAGCCAGCCTCATTCCACGRCAGATCTCCACTGGCATTCAATACGTGGAAGTGCTGGTGCACTTGTGCGTTAGTCAGGCAGGAGCAGCGCTGGAGGAAGGAGATGCGCTGAGGGAAAAAGAAGGCTGGGCGCTGGAGGGAAGCAGCCATTGCTGCCCAGCAGATTAGTGTAGACTTAGCAGGGTTAGTATAGATACCTATGAGTGACATTCAGAGTAGATCCTCGTGAGAGAAGAGTGTGTATGCATCGTGAGAGGAAGRGACTGAGACAGAGAGAGTGTTCTTTCAAGGTCTGGTTATGGAGGACACTTACCTGAGCTAGAAGCAAGTGACGAAGGTGGCATTGATGTATCTGATGTGGGATTGGTATTGCGCTGAAGCGCGTTGACTCAGGGAACTGTGAACTCATTGTAATCATAATTTTTGATAATATAAGTGACGGGTCTTGGTCCTATTCTCATCTACCTTTGTCTCGTGTGTGGCAACTGTGTCCATTGAGTGTGAAGACGATGTTTGATGTATGCACATCTGCGTGAGTTGGTCCCCAGGACCCATGCAAAAAGAGTATGTATTCCCAATTTCCCATGCATGTACGCTCCATGTACGGGAGTACGTCCTCCGAGGAGAGTATGCACTCCAACCCCGCATACATGTGCGCGGTGCTACACAGGTTTTCACTTAGATTAAGTTACACGTGGTGTCTCGAGTGATATGTCTCTTAGGGCATACTCACACAAGCACGTACTTCTGCAAATTTTACGTATGTGAATTTGCGTTTATATGGCACCTGTGGGTTTCACACCGTTTGTTGCCCGAAGCAGAAAGAACAGGGTCGCGACCTGGCCTTGAGATGCGAAAATGCGTTGTGTGCAGTCAGACAGCACAATGCACTTGGAAGTTTTTTGTTTTTTTTTGGTTCCTGAAAGCAGTAGAGGAAAAAGAAATACGATTTGCGGGGACCTCCGGAGGTCCCCGCAAAATATGTAAGCCCGCTGCTGTCCAGGCCGCTGACATTTAGGTGTCCTTTTGTGTGAACACGCAAAATATGTGCCTGGTGTGACCCGGAAAACCATGTAAAATTTGCGATTTTGCGAAAATACATGGTAGTGTGAGTATGCCCTTAGTGTCTGTTTTTTTGCCTTGTTTTAAGTTTTTCCATTTGCATTTTCCAATTTTGTAAAACTCCGAAGAGTAACTCTTCCTTTTTCGTTACGGGCCCAGTGCGCAAGGCAAAATACATGAATGGAAAAGTGCTGCAAGTTCCGAGGGTATCGGCCTCCAGCCTTCCACCCCAGGCAGAGCCTCGCCTCTGTATTCACGGGTATCAATGAGCCAACAAAACGTAAGAAAAAACGAACGTGTAGTGAAAAAGGAAGCGACAAGCAAAGACATTACCTACTGTGATCGCATTAATAGTGGCATTGGTAATGTTGGTGATTCATTTGTGAAAATTCACCGGCCGGTGGCCTTGTCATCTTCTTTTTTTTTTTCCTTCGAGCCTACAAAATATATATATTTTTTGTTTTAAGTTTTCCTTGCTTTGCAGCACAGGTGTTTGGACACACACCTCCTCGGACTCCTCCTCCTCCTCCCCTTGCTGATCTTTCACCTCCTCGTTCCTCTCATCCACTGCCATCACCTCTGTGCCGTGCTCCCCCATGCAAAACACACACGCACAACCAACCTTCTAGGCACAACTCGTCCCTTGCCACATCTAGGCAGCACTACGCGGGCTGGGTGGTAATGGCCCAGGTGCTACGATGTGGGTTGGATGATGCCATGTGGGGTGGGTCACACCACACCGATGCACAGATGGCCACAAAAAAGAAAAAAAGAACCAGGCTATGTGGGCAGTGCGGTATTATGTGGCCTGAGTGATATCATGTGGGTTGGGTGGTACCACATGGGGTGGGTCATGCGATCTGGAGTGGGTAGTACAACATGGCCTGGGCGACACTTTGTGGGTTGGGTGGTAGTACATGGGGCAGGTGATCCTATGTGGAGTGGGTGGATCTATCAGGGCTGGGTGGCACTCTGTGGCCTGGGTGATACACTGTGTGCTGGGCGGTACCAGGTTGGGCGGGTTATACTATGTGAACTGTATGGCAGTATGTAGGCTGGGTGGTACTATGTGGCCTGGATGACACTATGTGGGTTGGGTGGTGTGCTACATAGGGTGGGGGTTGGGTGGTGTGCTACATAGGGTGGGGGTTGGGTGGTGTGCTACA